AAGTGATAGATGGATGTATTTCAGGTCCATCCTTGACGCGGCAGACCACACCCCACTGGACATCACTGAACAGTCGTACACGTGCACGTTAGTAGAGACTGGTTCCCAGAAATCGAGGAAAAATCTTCAGATTTCAGAGGCTATAGTTATGTTCATTCGGTAAGTGATTAAAGTGTGATTAGTATCAGTTAAGCTAATCCGCTAAGAAATAAGTATTATTACCCCGTCGGCACCAATGGTTTATGATTCATGCTATTAGCGTAATCCTGTTGTTAACGAGGTGTTAATTGTTGTCGTTGTTCTCACAGAGAACCTGAGAAGAGAAGGTGTATTGGTGCTGCGATTACGGCCTAATCCGTCGAATTTTGAACGGTGTCTGCACAGGACGTCGACCCTTGGGTGAAATGTCACGGTTCAGTTAAGAAAAAAGGTCGACGTCCTGTCCATTGGACTTTATGCCAATTAACAGAGGATTAAAAAAGACCAAGAAATAATCAAGTGTTTTCGCAAGGCAGTAATCCGGATTATGCGGTTGAGAGCACAGACAACAGGAGAAAAGTACTATATTTCGTCCACACAAAATCATCCAACATGAAGTAGGTGAGATGTAGCCTCTGCAAGCTCTCTGGTGCTGATTTATCAACTCCTAAGACATTCCAAGTCCCTGTATTTCCTTTTCTTCCATAGGCGTTTTGTCCACCGCCGAATTGCAACAGCCGGACTTCAGTGTGAGGAATGTAGGGAGAAATCCCCGATTTAATTGTGCATTTGCTATTTCGAAAGTGAATGCAATCCACCGCGAGTTCTTTCCTTACATATATCGAATTTGAATGAAATATGTTCATCATTGTAAACTTCACTCTTATATGATTAGCAACACCTTCAACATCAAAGTTTACCGCGGGTCGACTTCGTGTCCATAGCGAAATTTCAAAAGGTCGACTTCTTGTCCATAAACCTTTTGAACAGCCAGCAGTGCCGATCCGTCGAATCATGCTTGAGTGGTTCAGTGCTAATCGGTCGAATTTCAGACTGTGTTAACACATTGGGAGAGTCTAAGTTCATTAATTAAGGGGTCGGCTTGTATTGGATTAGACTAAATGTTTTTTAATGAACAAGAACAGATTCCGGTGAAGACTTTCTGATTGCTGACATCGAACTGGGTATCATATGTTAGGCAATTACTATTTAGTGATGGCTTTGGATGGACGTGGCTTGCACAGGATACAGGTAAGCTCCGTAGAGCACTTTCAAAGTTCAGATGTAGTGCTCATAATTTCTGTATACAAAATTCCCGGCGGGCTAAAAACCCTGACCCTGATGCATCGCTCTGCCCGTTCTGTAGAAACACAGACGAAGACGAGTTCCATGTCCTCCTTGTATATCCTAGGTATGAGGAGAGCAGACAAAAGTATCTACCAGAATATTATACAAAGCACCTATTTTGGGGGTTAAGTTTGTAGGACCACTAGCCAACCAAAATGAAAACTTACCTTGTGTTAAGCAATTTTTATAACAAAGATATTTGAGATTAGAGAGACCAAAGTTTAATCCCTACCGTGCGACTTTGTGTACCTTACATTATTATACTCCCAGGTGCATGCACCAAGTCTAAATTACTACTTGAGGAGTTTGAACATCACGAACTATATATTTCTCCTTATGAATGTATTTTATTCAATGCATCAACTTTGTACAAAAGTAAAAGATATAGAGAGTCCAAACATATATTTAATTGTATCATATGAGTAGGCAAAGATATATACTGTACAAAAGTACAAAAATATAGAGAGTCAAACCATCCAACACCCCATGCGTCTTTTTTGGGGGTATGATCCATATTTTTATAACTAATTCATAGCTAAGATCACAGTGCCGATTCGTCGAATGCATTTTACTACTCTGAAATCAGAAATTCGACTGATCAGTACGCGACCGGCGCTGCAGTGTTCGTAACAATACACAGTGCGACTGTCACACAGACGGGGAAGTCCTTCGCTCTAGGTCTGCACACCCACATACATCCTGTCTTCAGACCAGACTAGTGCGGAACGGTGTTCTGACTCTCCGCCTGAGGAGGAAAGCTACACAGAGCCAGAAGCGTATCTTTGCAGCCTTGAACGAGTACCGAGATGGCGATCTAAGTCTGATGTCTCTCCTGACATGCGCACAGATCCACGGTCCAGTGGAGTGAAATGCAAAATAGGACGTGTATATATTGTATATTTGTGTATAAAAGACAATGCATGTTAGTGACTATAACTGAAAATAAATCTGAAAGGAAGAAAAGTTAAATGTTTGCTATTGTGTGTTTACAATCTCAACAATAGACCAGTGAACCTACTATATACACGTTTAGTCAATCAACAGGAGAGCCAAGATAGCGGATGCCGGTTTTGTGAGCGTTAATTACTGCTCAAACAGTCAGTTGGGCGGTCTTTATTGTGCCGAAATACGGAATAGACTGACGCCGGATTAGAGGGCGTGTAAATGATCATAAATTAACTAGCTTCTGCCGGGACCAAATTCTAGTGCCGATATTGAGAGCATGCCGGATTGGAGGGATGCCGGTTTGGAGGGCTTCCACTGTATCCGTAAACAAATCTTAGTTATTATTTTTATTTTGAAAAAATATATGTGTCGCCGTCATAGCCAAAATTAGTGTCGCCGTTACAGCCAAATTTCTCGCCGTTACCGCCAATTTCTCTGTCGCCGTTCTACTGTGTCGCCGTTTCAGCTGGCCCCCGGCGTAAAAGCCCTTCAAATACTCTAGTTGTGTGAAGATGTTTATTGAATCATGCTAATAACCAAATTCTAAAAATGACAAAATATTTAAAAGATGGAAGTACAGTAAATGTTTTGATATCATCAATGAAACATCACTTCATCAACATTTTATGTCGCCTGAAATGTACTGAAAACATTTTTATGGATATATTATGTCTCGAACCAAATACAACTTTAAAAGCAGCAGGGGTATTACGGAAACAACACAATACCTTTTAACAGGATTTCTTTAAATTAAGTAACAATGATACACAAACAAAAGAGATACCTAGGGTAATAAATATAAAGATCTAAACATGTGAACATACGACAAGACGATAAAAATAAAAAGTCTTCAGTCAGTCAACAGTAAACTTTACAATCACAAGAAACAATATGTGAGGAATACAAACAAAATGAGCTACATAAAAAGAGTCAAATGTTAAATCTCCTCCACTATTTTGTATTCGAGTCAGTTTGCGCCTGCTGAACGGTTGTATATTTACGAGGTAAAAATAATGTGTTTGAAAAATAGATTAGAGCAAATTTTAAAACATATTACGTGTATCACCATTCTACCATGACCGAACTCGTCTGTGAAAGGGGTGGTAGGTGTCTTTCCTAGTGGGTTGTATAACATTGTAACGTAAAAGGTATTCGTCCAAAGAAAACAAGCAAGTGGTTTTTCCATGCAACTATTGTAAACAAGTAACAGTTTGGTTATATGAACACAGCAGGCACGACAGACACCAGTGTACTGTATTATGTGAAGTAGCACTGTACCCCCTACCAACACTACATTGAGTGTCCTGACCTTCTTCTTTGTCTTGTAGGTAGTTGTTGACGGTCACGTGGCTGTTTGAATGAGGCAGACCTGCCAGATACGACATTTTATGAAGGACTGAAAATTGAAGTGGCAATGGAGGTTACCTGACTGACTGTCAACTTTGAAACCCTTCAAAATAGAAGAATAGTGCTTTCTTCTGATGTGCCAATTTATTACCAGTGAGTTTGATGATTTGACGATCCTCTTTCCGGGCAAGCGACAAAAGAGCGACAATGGTGGCACCAACGCAAAGATTTGTGTGAATGCGACTAGCTTGGAATTCCCAGGAAATTGTTTTCAGTATTGGGACAGAGGATTGTGGCCAAGCGATTTTAATTTGTACCAACGTTGATCACCAGCAGTCACATTTTTTGCGTGGAAGCAGGTAGAAAGCAGGAAACATGTGGTTCATTCTGACATTTTTGAACGATGCAACGAGGCACAACGGAGTCCTACAGGAACATTTTAGGGATTTTGCCTAACCCTTATCTCGCAAGTCCAGTGGATGATCTTTGCTACATTCCGAATTGGTCATTGTGATAAACGCCATCTCTATGGAAACGGAAATTGTGTGACAGTGTTTAGTTCTATCATTTCCCAGTGAAACGGTAAAAAAAAAGCATAACATTTTTCAGTCCAAATTGATTATGTCCAATTTTACTGATTTAAACTAAATAATTACAATTAGAAAGTAAATAAATATGAATAAAGAATATTGGAAGGATGTCATTGAAATTATAAACAACATTACTCCAACAATAAGAGCAATAGTAAACAATATTGTTATGAGAAATAAGTGAGTGAGTTAAAATGTAACGTCACCTCGGCAATATTTCAGCGATATAGTGACGAGATATGAGAAATAAGAAATATAACATGACGCTTGAAATACATAGTAGCAACAACAACAAAAAAGAAAATTGTTAAATCTCTACACCGGTTAAATCTGTACAAATGGATCACTAAAAACATAGTGATGACGCCAGATATTCGAAACAGGTTAAGCTGTTTCTGAATACGAGTATCACCCATCTCACAAACAGTTTGGATAAAACATTATGTTTGTTTCATAAAGATAACTGACACTCGATCAATACCTCGACTGTCTATAGCAACATCGTTTAATAAATATATTTGCATACTGGCACAAATACCAACTGGAGATAGATTCTGGGAATACTTAAATCATCTTAAATCTTTTGAACATGCATGTAAAATTCAATTTTTGTGTGAATTCTGATACATCAGTATTTTTTCAAAACCCCTGAATATTCGTATGACGACTTATTTCGGGGAACTAAAACAAAACGCACACATATCAGTATGTGTATCATTGTGTTCAGCCGAAGTGTAAAGAGATCACTCGTTTTCACAAAATGACATATCAATGTGCCAGAATATGTTTCTACTACTCTGTCGATTTATGCTCATATGCGGCAGTACTTTCGACGATGTTGATGGCGCTTTGTGTGGCTTTGAATCTCAGCCCCGTGTACGTCCCCTCTGCTGCTGCACCTTCAGTAGCTCTGTCAGGCACTGCGTAGATGGCCATGGAGGCGGACGGAGGAGCATCGACACCTTGTTCTGCAGATCTCGTAACTGACATCATCTTCCTTCGTCTACAAGGATATAGTGAAACACATAAAAAACTACAGAAGCTGGTTCAACTGTTAGCACCCTTTTGAACTAACATCCATCTTAAAATCCAAACAACGAAAAAAACGTAGTTAGCAACGTCTAGATCTTCATTGCTTAATACCTCCTGAGCAAGAACGTATTTACATGATACCGAAGCTTTACCTTATGCATGTAGACGGTTTGCACAAAGGAGAACCCTATGGGATTCTCTCTCTGATACATTCTTATGCTAGGACTGGTACCGCCATAGGACTACATGTTTACTGTCTGGGTGTAATCCACAATCAATTAAGCATGTTACTTAGACCGGGCGTGACCACTATTTCCACGAGTTGTCAAAGTAGCCGACAAACATGATGGTCAGATGGTGTCAATGTCCTGACTGATTGCATATGTAGCAACATATTCAACAACTAAGATTTATGAGAACTAAGAATTATCTGAGAAATTCAATTACTAAATACTTACGTGTAGAACACATATGCCACAAAGGCAGCCAGGAGAGCCACAATAACAATCCCACAGACTACGCCCACGATCACTGCAGCGTTGTTTGGACTGTCAACTAAAATGAATGTTTTTGTCTTTGAAAAAGATGATGGACTCTGATATTTCTGTACAATTCACACAGAGGCAACAGATAGTGAAAGAATGACTGTCATTGATGTTAGATATGGTCTTCAGCAACCCATGCTTGTGGTAAGAGGCGACTAACGGGATCGGGTGGTTAGGTTTGCTGACTATAGTGGTCACATTTCATCGTATCCCAACTAATTAGATCGATGTTCATGCTGTTGATCACTGTATTGTCTGGCCCAGACTCGATTGTTTACAGACCGCCGCCATATAACTGTAATATCACTGAGTGCGGCGTTAAACAACACCCAATCCAATCCTAAAACATCTTATGTCTTAGACACTAGGTATGCGTTTTAAGACAGAGAGCATACGCGTCAGTACTATGCTCCTCTGAATGTGTATGTTGTTTTTAGATTCTTCGCACAAACTTTCAAACAAAATGTGATGTGTGCTTACATCTGACAAATGCATTCGCTTTTTAGCCAGGTTTCACAAAGCTTACGCAGGACTTTTTATTGTGCCCGAGTGGGGACACAGTATTATCGCCTGTAATGTCCGTGTAAAGCATGAAAGTGATAATGAGAGACGAGAAAGTGATATTACAAGACGATATAGGCTACTATTTCTACTCGATGAAATGTATAAGTGAAAAACAACAGTGATAAACCCCAACCTTATAATTCACGGATGAACTATTCATTTGCATCATTGGGGATGCAATGAGAGTCGGCCTAAGGAGGTTGAATGAGTGTTTTATGGCCCCAGTTAGGATTTAAGTGACTGCTGGGCTGGTCATGGCCATACTTTCCACACAGTTCTGGATAAAACCTGAATATAAACTACTCAAAAGAACACACGTTCCTATCATATTGCATAGGGGGTAGCTCTAGGTCCCTAGGATGTAAGCCCCTTTTTTGATAATGGTAGTAGGTTTTCACGTAAAAATGCAAATATATATGAACCAGTGAAACTGTCTATTTCATAATATAAAGACAGTTTATATTATTGCTAATTTTTATTTAACAAAACATATCATATGTTTACCACTGAACATTAAATCAAACTAAATACAAATAGTCATCACGCTATGGCTTTCTCGCGGCCGTAATTGAAGACAAAAAAGCAGACCCCCCCCATTGTTCATTGCTATGCTATGATTGTGGTTGAGCTATGGGTCCTGTGGAAAAAGTCTATCTCATGAATGAATCAAGATATAACGCTTGTACGTCTCACGAGGCGCTACTTCCGGTACTAAGTTGGTTCCCGGCCTGCTTTGTCCGGGGCGGGGCCATCTTACTTCCGAAATCTGGTTTCGGCGACAAGTGTATATTCAAGAACCAGTTCTGACTCAAAAATATGACTTTACTAGACCGGACCAAGTGTACAACCATGCTTGGCTGCCACAGCTGTTGACAGTTGTAATAGTTGGCTAATTTGAGGAAATGTGTTATTCCTGCAAGGATCATTGGTTCCTTACTATCAATTGACAACCATGAGACCATTCCAAAAGTCATGAAACGTTGTTTGTCACCGGAAGTACTAAGGTCTCGCGGAGTGCCGTTACCTACTTACGGGCCCTATGGTTGAGTGACAAGGTATCTTGGTATCATGGCAAAGAAGATCAATGACAAATATGGCAGATGGCAGGACGACAGTCGAGCAGAAATACTTACCTTGGAGGCTACCACCTGTATTTAACTTGATACCGCTTCCATCTGGTGTGGAGGTCTCTGGAACGATTAAGTGAAGCTATTCAGTATCTACATTGTCATGGAAGTAAAGTGAGCCCTACATGTAGTCAAACATACTGAGGACATGACCTGTTTTGTTTAACGCCGATCAGACCATTATCTAAGTATTCACTATTTCGCGACCTGAGATAAACATCATCAATAGGCACAATGGTTATAACACTATTAGTTTTTCAGTTTCCTTTTCCTCAGAAAAAAATATTCAACGTACATGTCTGACACAGAAATAATGTCATTTGAGGTTTTGGACATACCAATTCAACTGTCTGGACTCATGGTGCTGCTTTGTGTCTAACGTGTCCTTCAGATAAATGCCTTTGATTTAACGTGTCATGGAGCTGGACAGAGCTGTACAGAGTTGTACAATCAAGCCTTGGCCATGTTTCACAGAGCAATCGTAAACAGCCAATAAATAGAGCAAACAAATGAGTGATTTGAAGTAAGAGCAACGATCACTTTGATGATTGTTACATGTTGAGAACATTTCGTTTGTGCGGAACTATACATATTTTATGTTGTTCATCGCAGCAATCAGCAATATGCCAGTTAAACCACAATTTTTGTATATGCATCCCTGGAATGTAAGGATATGATATTTACATATAAATATACAACTGAAGACCAACCTGTATCAGGATATGTCCTAAAGTTGTATCCACCGTTGTATATGATATAAACATCGTATCCAAGGACAGCAAAAGAAATATTAGACCGGATGGTTGTTGTGTATCGATCAAATGATAATGTTCCCACTTTGAATCTTGTACCTGACACATTCTTCCACTTTATTGGAGGACTGAAAACTGTAGAAAGATGTTCACGGGTTTGTTGAACGTCGACATTACTGTTTTCTTGATCTGTCACTATCTGCAAGGTACCTGGTGCTTCTTGTGTTGTTAACTTGGAGTAGAGGCTTACTGGGGGTACAATAGTTAAACCATCATTATAGAAAAACGTGCCAGCTGTACATAATGTGACCATAGCTGGCCTGGTGGTGCTGAAGAAGATAGTGTCAACGTTTCCAAATTGTTTACGGTACAGTCCGTCATTACTCATAGAGATGGTAGAATTGTCGTTGAACACGATGCTCGCGTCACTGCGGTCAGTAACAACTTGAAGTTGGTATGGCAAGGTTCTGTTGGACTTTCGTCGAATCTCAGAAGGATCATTAATAGCGATGACATATTCACTTCCATAATGTTTTACAGGCAATAACTGCTCGATCATACGAAATGCGTTACCGTCGTAGGTTCCACTATAGACGGCTATCGATTCCGTGGCATAAATGACTGTTCTGGTCATATCAGATGAACTCCTTAAAGAGAAAGACTGATACTTATCTAATCTGACACTGAGTGTGTCCCCGTTGCTGTATGTCCGACCATTATAGGTGACGTTGGTCTCCAGTCTGAAGATGATGTCAATGTCCGCCGTTCTGCTGTGTGTGGCTATCATCAAGCCGGATCTGTACCTCTTTGACCAGGGCGGCATGAAGTCAGGAGGAGGGAGACATGAAGCTATAATATACTTGGTGCCAAGTTCGGACACAGGAAGTGGAGAGAATGAGGTGTCAGAGTTCATCCCCCCTTTGATCTGAATAGTATCATCTCTGACAAACACAAGCATAACAACTACACTGTAAGCTTCAAGTAGTATTGGGTGAAAGTAGTCTGTGTTGTAAGGATTGAAGTGTCGAGACCAGACTCGCCCAGTGTGTGGATCCTGTATCTGCCACTGGCCTCCTGTCTCCCCAGCAGTGGCAATTATCCGAGGGACTTGATACTTGCCACTATTGTATCCTGTCAGTGCCATCAAGTAACTTTGACCTATGGGACATAGTACTGTTTATGTTCCTGATGATTAGTAGCACACGGAGTAATAGGAATATCTTCTCTGTCTGCATCATGATGAGTAACATTAACCAGCTGTAACTTACACAACTATAAGCAAAACCCATTGACAGGTGAAAGAACACGCTTGTACTGCGACATATCAACCGTCCATAGATTAATGAAGTTATGTCAATGGTATATGTAAAGGTATATGGGTTTGCATGTAACCTTTTATAATAGAATGAAAGTTTAACGTGATGTCAGAAATATAATGGCATGTGAGCTCTTGGTTGGTATAAATCACGAAATGACACATTTAATACTTTTTGAAGTGCAATGTAAAAACATTCTCTATCATTGTATTCTTCTCTTTCATCTCACTGCATTGTTTGTACAAACTTAATTACATCTCCTTCCCCTCTTGCGCTTGTATATACTTATTTACATATCTGGCTTCCTGTACATGTTGTTTGATCAACATTACAATATCTAAATCTTTCAAAATGTTTTATGGTAGACAGAGAATTATTTCCACTGGAATGCCACACTTTGATTGTATTTTATAACAGTGGGACTTTTCACAGGTGAGTAATTCACGTGTCTTTGCCTGTGTTTGTGTGGTCAAGGTACGCTAACTCCTTTGTTTCATTACTATTCGATAGTGATTCGCAACCACTGCTAAAGGTTCCAATTGTATATTCGGATTCCTTGTGGTTATGGAAGGAAGTTTGTCACTTCCATTCAGGAGTATACAAGTTTGATCAAATAACTAAGCAAGGATATGCTACTGACCAAGGACAATCTTAATCATGAGGAATCATGCAACTGCGCCTTGAACAATGAAAGCACCATGTACATATAAATACACTCGTCATGCGGTATACAGTTATATCAAATTGTTACAAAACATTGTGAGTCAATAACCACAATGGGCCTACTTTTCTGTTTTACTTTGATGCATACACTTTGGTATACCGTGGTCATATCGTTTGTTGAAACTATTTCCACATAAATAAAGAATGAGGACAATTTCTATGGATATACAACCTCTTTATTCTGTATAGGAGACGTTTGGACATAGATTCTAACATTGGACATTGGAATCTATGTCGAAACGCCGCCTATACAGAATATAGAACTTGTATATCCATAAAAATTGTCCCCATTCTTCATCTCCTTAACTTCTAGAATGCCAATCAAAGAAACCATTTCCACATACCTGAATAATGTACTTCCTCTTCTGCAGACAAATTGTAACCGATGGTTATAGACCGATTCGTTGTAGAAGGATAGAACTGTGAAGGGGAAGTCGCTAGATATTGACGAAGCAGATGGATGAAATCTTACTGATGATACCAATGTGCCAACTTTGTATCTGCTGCTGGCAACATCAATCCATGTCAGAGAATACAGGGAATACATATTAGTAAACGATACAGTCGCTCTCCTGTCTGTTAGTATCTTTAGTGTCATATTTAGATAGTCATTATCTAGAAACCTGTACATGTCACGATTTAGCCAGACACCTCTCTGTGTGAAGTAAGAGTTTACTGGTGGTACGGTTGTGAAGGAACTGTTGTAACCATCTGCTCGACTGAGTGTCACCAGTACCGGGCGTGTGGCGGTGAAGTGAAGATTCTCTCCCCGTTCAAGTGAGCGGTTATAGAGACGACGCTCGCCAGTAGAGACTGTGGCCCCAGAACTAAAGGCGATCTGTACGTGGCTGTGTTCACTAATAATCTGCAGCTCCAGTTTGGTGTCATCTACAGCAACAACATACTCCTGTCCGTAGTGCTTGACCGGTAGTAGTTGGTCATACACAGTGTACTTAGATGCATATTCCATACCACAATAGACAGCTATGCTGTGTTCACTGTTAATGACCGTTCCATTTAGATCATATTGAGTGTATATCATCAATGTTTGATACGGATTAAGTTTATATGATATAGTATCGCCGTCACTGTATTTGTAACTGAGAAAATATACACTTCCTTTCTTCAGTCGAAGGAATATATCAACAGTAGTGCTCATGCTGTGTGTAGCTATCAGTAACAAGGATCGATACTCACTGTTTGGGGTGAGACTGGAAGGTAAAATGTACTTGGTCCCAAGGGCAGATATAGGAAGTGGGGAGAATACACCGTCAGCATCTACCTGAATGTGTATATTTTCGTCACTTCCGCTTACAATGATAGATGCATTTTTCACATCTCTCGTAGTTTGCAGAAATACACTGTGCGAACTATCTTCGAATGGACTCAATACACTAGCTCTTCTGTAAGTGCGGTGTGGGTACTGCATCTCTACCAGGCCCCCAGTTTCCCCAGCTGTGAACCTGATGTACGCGTCGTAGCCTTGATGTGCCACTGCCACCAAGTAGTCTTCACCTGTGGAGTCAACATGACATGGTATTACATCAGTACATGATATTATTAGGGTTCCAAGCCTAAAATTCTGTAGATATAGTATGACCAGACATTATTGAGAATTTTAGGAATATGTTTAATTAGATTTCTAGTATAAACAACCTTGACCAGCTATCAAGTGCTTGGTTTCATTCAAGAGAGACAACTCCGTTAATCCTTTTCATTAGTTTGTGAAAAGTTATCCCCCTTTGTTTACTTGCTAGCAGACGACATTTTCAGTGATCCTCAGTATGGATGATTTAGAGAAGTGGAAGTTGATTTTAGAGCATTATAACAAGGACATCAGGACAAGTGATTTCAAGTAGAACAGGCATCCCTTTGTCCACTGTGTATCGTGTTTTGAAAAATATTGCAATGGATATGGCATTGAGCACCAGGGAGGCGCAGGTAGGCCCAGAAAATTGACTGTCGGTGACAGGAGGCGGCTTGGTATTCTTGTTTCTAAAACCAAACGAAGGAGTTTAGAAAACTTAAAGCTGGATATGATTGATAGAAGAACTGTGGCTGTCTGTAAGGAGACAATTAGAACTGAGCTTCATGCAATGGGTTGGCAGAAAAGTCGAGGAGTTCCATCACCTATCATGAAATCTGAACAAAAGGAGCGAAGGTGGAACTTGTTCTTACAGCATAGAAAGTTTAACTGGGACAATGTGATTTTCTCAGATGAAAGTTCTGTGTGGCTGTTTCCTAATGCACTGAAATTCTGGACCAAACAAACTGAAAAACCTTTGTATCAGCGCCCAAAGTACAGTCCGAAATTTAACGTGTGGGGTGGCATAGCTGTGTATTTGAAGGGAATATGAACAGTGAGCGGTACACAGATATTCTCGAGGGACATTTACTTCCATCTGCTCACGTGTTCTATGGACATTTTTGGATTTTCCAGCAGGACAACGACCCAAAACATCGTTCAAAGCATTCACAGGCCTGGTTTCGGACCCAAAATATGACATTATTAGATTGGCCAAGCTATAGCCTTGACCTAAATCCAATAGAAAATGTTTGGGGACTTATGAAGGAAAGTGTCAATAAGAAAAATCTGACACATATTGCTGAAATGAAAGAAGAGGTGGTCCGATATTTTGACAGCATGGACCACGACTTTCTAACTTCTTTGATCAGTAGTATGCCCCGCCGCATTGAAGCCTTCATTGCTGCCCATGGTGACCACAGTCAGGTTGGTTGGGCTCATGACCAGCTCAGGTACCCTTGCCCCCTCTACATGCAGCCCTAAAAGCGAATGGGATTTCTCCCAGGAAGCACTGCCTAGTCGAACCCACCAAGAACTTTTTGGAGAATATAAAGGCTCCACAACATTGCAGACTTCTGATTAACCAGAGTGTCAATAAGGCTGCTCCCCCGATGGAGAAGCCAGGCGCTCCCCTCATCTGCAAGTGTTGGACAGTATCTATGAATTCATTTCAAAATCGACATTTCATGTTAATATTTTCTTTAAGAATCACATTTTGCAGATTGCAAGTGGGAAGTGGCTGATGTGTGTGTGTGTGTGTGTTTGTGTGTGTGTGTGTGTGTGTGTGTGTGTGTGTGTGTGTGTGTGTGTGCTTGCTGTCAATGGCAACTCATTTGGTACTTCGTGGTAGTAATTCTAAATCTCGAATTACACTGAATCACGTATGATCACGGAAATTACCGATGTCTTGCGAAGGCAAATCGATGGAAGGGAGATAACTCTAAATCTGTTTTCTTGTAAGCAAAATCTAGCGATGGCTACAAAAACATTTGTACCCGTGCTTCAAACAATTCAAAATTAACATTAAGGTGTTCGGTAAGATAAATACGTTGTTCACTGGTCCCTCGGGGCCCAAGAGTTGATGGACCCTCGACGTTTGTTTATGTTCCCCTCGCCCTTTGGGCTCAGGGAACATAAACAAACATCGAGGGTACATCAACCCATTTGCCCCTCGCGACCAGTATGTATGTATGTATTATTCTTGTAGTAGGGAGTCAGTTCGACGTACGATCCGCCTTTTAACGTCATGTATTTTGCTACGTCCAGATAAACCGTGTCGATTTTGTTCACCGCCCACCAGGAACCCATGTGTGGTTAGCATTCCAGAGATTCTTGTATTTTTTGCAACTAGGTGTTGATGGACGAATCGATGGACTCGGGTTGAGTCACGACTTCTTGTCTGCCTCTGAAGTAAGGCTCGACGTGCTCGCCGCCGCCGTCCGTCTGCTGTTTATCCAGAGACATTTTCACCGTGACTTGAAATTTGAGGCTTCGTAGATCGTCCAGTTCCTGGACGAGTTTGCTGGCGATCATTGGTTTGATGTCGTCAACATCCATGTTTTTGTTGACAGTCATCCGCCAGCCTCTCAGATACTTACCTATCGCGTGCTTCGTCAGCACGAATTGTAGTTCAACAACTTTGTGTTATTCCAGCAGTTCAACGAACTCAGGTGTCCTTATGTGGGAATAACCTCTCAGCCCACGTTCCCCCACTTGGAGTTTAAGTTGTTTCACTGTTGGAGGTTTGACGTATTTCATGTCGAGTAATCTCAACAGCTGAGGTTTCCTCAAGCGGGAGTAACCGATCACGCCTAGTTCTTTTGCAATCGTTTTCACTTCTCGAACAGTAATCATTCTTGCTATATCAACGTGTCAAAACATTTTTCTAAATGAAAAATAAATAATTATATTCAGATGCGAAGTCAAATCTCTAATAGATTGATTTCGCTATATTCAGATGCGAAGTCAAATCTCTAATAGATTGATTTTGCCATATTTTCATTGTGCAATTATGGTCAGTCTTCTTGACGAGTTAAACAAATAATGAAGCACACATAAAATCTCTTCTAAATTTTTATTCGAAAAAGCCGGTTACGTTCGTTGAGATAATCTCATTTTGTTAAAGATCACATATATTCTAGGAGGGTACAAATACATAAATCACTAACTGGCATCGCTATAAATGAAACCCCGTCATTAAAACTACTCACTTTGGTCTTTAACTTAAATCGACCTTTTTGACAACAGTGCACAATTCTCACCCGCGAACGACATTACAACAAATCAGAGCGGGACGTCTCTGTGACGTCATATGAGGAATAGATATGAGGGCCGATGCAGAATTCATCTACATTTCAGGGGGTAAATTATCTTGTTTACAGGTTTGTATAAACCTGAAATCGTGACAACTGTTGTGGAAAATGAAAGCTATGTGTCCTCACAATCTACTGTCATTTAATTTTGTCTCCTGCGTTGCCTAGTTTCCGAGTTACAACTTGTTTTCATAGACGATTCTGTCAAAATCGCTTGGTGTCGTTAGGCCTTATTTGTATAATGACTGATCCAAATTGATCTTATTTATGTCAACTGCACTTATGTTTAAACAACTTAAATAAATGGTGTCTTGAAAACGGCTTTAAATGTTCAAAATCAAAAACTAATTGTATACATTTTTGTAGAAAATATAAGCCTCATAAGGATCCAGAACTATCTTTAAATGGCACTCCCATCAAAGTTGTAAAGGAGGCCAAATTCTTTGGCCTAATTTTCGATTCCCATTTAACATTTCTGCCACATAAATCCCTTAAAGCTAAATGCCTGAAGGCACTCGATTTGTTAAAGGTTGTCTCCAATTCAAAGTGGGGAGGGGATCAAACTACCCTCCTTCATTTATACCGATCATTGGTGCGATCTAAACTTGATTATGGCTCGATCGTATATGGCGGAGCCTGCAAAAGCAACCTTAAACTACTTGATTCTGTTCACCACCAAGGTCTAAGACTTTGTCTTGGATCATTTAGAACTTCTCCAGTTGATAGTCTCTATGTCGAGGCAGATGAGCCTTCTCTTTCCCAACGCCATATTAAATTATTATGCTGTCTAACCCTGCATTTAACCGTGTCTTCAATCCTCTTTATGAGGATTTGTATAACAAAAAGCCTTCTCTTGTTCTGCCTCCTCGGCACAGAATTAAACCATTCCTTTCTGCTGCCGGAATTGAGCTCCTTCTCGTCTCTTCTTTCTTCTCATCCTTGGCAATTGGTGAGGCCAGACGTTGACTTAACATTAACCACATTTAAAAAATCCGAAACTAATGATTTACAGTAAAAACAAGAATTTAGTCAATTAAGAAATAAATATAATACACATAAATCCTTATTTACAGATGGATCCAAGGATGGTGGCGCGGTGGCTTGTGCCACTGTCATTGGATCCAAAACAATATCTTCTCGACTACCAAATAACAGCTCTATTTTCACAGCAGAAGCTAACGCCATATTAACAGCTCTTAAATATATAAATAAACACCGTAAATATAAACAATATATCATCTTTTCTGATTCTCTTTCGTGTCTTCAGGCTATTAAAAAGCTTTCTTGTCAACATCCACTTTTATTAGAAATTATTGAATTGTATAATGAGCTTGCTACTGGCCAATGCGACATCGTCTTTTGTTTGTTACCCAGCCACGTTGGCATTTCTGGGAATACAATGGCCGATCTTGCTGCTGAGGCAGCACTCAACAAATCTGTGACACCACTTCTTATTCCATACTCTGATTACAAAGCTAGCATTAGAACTTACATCCGCGATCAGATGCAGAAGAAGTGGGACACCCAAGTAGGTATTAATAAATTACATGAAATAAAACCCTATATTGGTTACACCTACTTGGGTTGTCAGTCCAGATTTGAAGAGGTCATCATACGACGATGTCGTATTGGCCATACAAGGTACACTCACAAATATTTGTTAAAAGGTGAAGATCCTCCGTTTTGTATCCCTTGCGATGAGAGAGTCACAGTCAAGCATCTCCTGCTTGACTGTGTTGAATTCTCCATCATAAGGGATAAATATTTCAATGTTAAAACTGTTAAGGATCTTTTTAATTCTGTTCATCTTCATTTAATTCTTGATTTTTTAAAAGAATTTGATTTCATTAATGAATTTTGATAAATATGTTCTGTAAATAGATGTGTTTTAATGATTG